CAGGGCGGAAGGAGAAATACCACGAATGTTTAGCAGATAATTAGTCAATAAATCAGCTTAACTTGTCTCTGACGAGTAGTAGTGTCGTGTTAAGACGGGCAATGCTCATTGACGATGCCGGCAAAACATCTGGGAGTGTTTTATGTCCACGGTTCGACTTAAGAAATCATCATGCATACAATGGACTCCGGACTAGGTGTGTCTTCCTACCAATATGATCAAGTTGCGAAAAAAAGTTCAAACAACTTTTAATTCTCTAGACTTCGCATTCGTGTACAAATTGCCCATCAAGTGCATCATTTCGTTCTCTATTCATAGACTAATTGCCTAGATGTTATTCCCCTTTGTCTAGTCCTATGTGCACGAGCACAATGCACCCTATCGAAGCCCTAGTGCCGAAAGCGAGAGTGCATGTAAGATAAATATTTTAGGCGTAATGTCGCCATTGCACTCAACAATTATATTTCGGATCTTAATTCTAAGCCCTCCTCATATACGCTTCTATATTGACCTTACTTCTATACGAGACTAGAGTAACAGCCCTGATCTCTGCTTCATACTGTACGTCAATGCCAAGGATATAATGGTCATTCAGTAGCAGACGAAACTGTGCTTGGGGAACTGAAGAGCAGGTAAACATGTAGCCCAAACAAAAAATACAAGCTGAAATAGGATATCGAGAAAATGAATATTCAAGATAGAGAAAAATCTTAATCCTTAATTTAATTTAACTCTATAGAAGTTGTTTGACATTGTTTTCGCAACTTGGTCATATTGTTAGGAAGACTTATAGGAACGCACCTAGTCTGGAGTCCATTGTGGATGTGATACATTCCCAGACGTTTCTTAGCACCATACTATCCTATATCCTCGTATCACGTCTTCCCTATCACAGTCTTTTTTCCTTGCATATTTAAATCTAATGAGGTGTGCCCTTTTGAGCGGCTTTCATGAGAACCCTTCACACTTGTGCTGACATGTTAATCAGAGTCTCCCTCTTGCCCCGTAGGATCCGTCTGCTATCTCCCTGGTTTAAGTATTTCATTCGACCTCTGCGAACCTATCCGTGCTACTCGAAGCGTTATTTATAAGATTCTGCGTCTGCTAGAATAACTTAAGGCTAAAGACCCCGAGTAATTCTCATAGTCAAGACTTTGATTAATGGACTACGTCTATGGTAAAACAGGCGTACTGTGAGAACGCCAGTGTGGAGTGCGAAGGGTTCTCATGAAAGACGCTCAAAAGGGCACACCCCACTAGATTTAAATAAGCAAGGAAAAAACTGTGATAGTGAAGGCGTGATACGAGGATATAGGATAGGTGAATAGCCCAGGACAGGAGAGATACGACAACTGTTAGCACACATTTGGTCAAAGGATCGGCTTCACTTGTCTATTTGACGAGTTGTAGTATGGTGCTAAGAATGACAAGACTCACTGACGATGCCGGCGAAACGTCTGGGAATGTACCACCTCCACGGTCCGACTTTGGAAATTATTATGCATACAATAGACTCCGGACTAGGTGCGTTTCTCTAAGTTTTCCTACAAATATGATCAAGTTACGAAAACAAGGTCAAACAATTTCTAGACAACGAAAGGAGACTGCGACCACGTAAAAGGCCACACCTTGGTCTTCCTATCTTTGGTTAATTCAACTCGATTTAACTATTTACAATGATCGATGTAGAGTAATTCCCTAAACTAAAGATGCATGTCCGTTAAACATAAAGTTGGTCGAAAATAGAATAAATAGAAACCAAGCAAAGTATCCTTATAGTTTGTCTTATTTTTTCACATTTTTATGGTAAAAATAATATTTTCAAAATGGTAATATAGAGAAGTGACAAATTTTAGTCAATCCCGCTAGAAAAGCACCCAACAAAAAACGCAATAAACCATCTTTCATCGCACCTAAACAAAGTATTGAAGGGCAGCTGTTATTGTGCAAGCAATAACCACTGCGACACCCAAATGAATTTGAAAAGATCTCGATTGAGGTTGGAGGCACAATATCAGTTGGCCCCAAGTACATGGGTTTCGTATGGTGAGAAATAGTTCATTACACGACTGACGCCAAACTGAGTAGAACCTCAGGATTAGACAGGGATGATAGTGCAAGAGAGCAAGAGGAGTGTTTCACTTAACTTGGAAGTAGACATATGAGGAGGATAGCTCGACAATAGGAGTTCTAAATGAAACCAGACACCCAGAAGATGAGAGCGGGGTGGTGGGACATTAAGTTTCTGAAGCCTATAGAACTTAAAAGACTACAGGAGTGAGAATTACAGCAGAACTGTATTCATCTTACTTCATTTAAGGTGATAGATTGGCAGTTGAATTATCTCACAATGATATGAATAGGCCTTCCGTTTCTTTTGAATTTCACATAAACTTGCTTCTCAAAATGTAATTTTATCCAAGGTGGACTGCAGTTTCTACTTCGCTCAGGTCTCATCAACATCGTAAAGGGACTCGAACCCGGGTAATGCAGCGTGTAGTCTCGACACGTCAAACTGCGCCACACTACCCGGATTGCCCTAGAATCAAAGAGCAGACATGAATTTAAAGGAAGGACAAGTAGTTCCCATACCTTCTTCTGTGATAGTAGTGTCGATTAAGTAAAGTTGTATTTGCCATTACAATATACTGTCAGTCTCATAAAATCCATCCATAAAAACTACAATAAATGACAATTACCACAAGAGTATGGCATAAAATTTTCCATATGTCAGTGGGACTAAGAGTAGTCTTGTTTATTTTGAATACATGTCTCATTCCCCAATGTTTAGCCATAAAAAATAAGATTTATGGACTTGATGGTCCTTGCTAGGGCTATCGAATGCTTTGTCGAACTTTAGAGGAGAGACATGGAAATAAGCAGTCTAATATTTAAAAAACGGAGGCTGGAATCGAGGCGATTTTCAAGTGAAACAATTAAAGTGGGGCGGAGGATGGCTAAGTGAAAGTGAGGACTAAGTACCTTGAGAAAGGCATCTTAAAGTGATGGTAAAACAATCTCCCTTGGAGAAAATAAAAACAAACTAAGACAAAAAAGGTATATAAATAGGTAATTTGGTCATTTGAAGTTGGGTTGAGGGATAAGAGTGGAGGACCAGAAGCCTGCACTTAACCCTTTGACTCGATACCAAGGATGACGTCTCTAACGGTTCCGGAGAGACATCTAAAAATTTAATAAGCCAATAAATTGCGATTACTGTGTCAAAGAACGAGGAACTCGATCGAGCCCGTATCGAGCCTAGGTCATTGACCAGTCCCTCATTTAAAGATTTAGTGTGAGTAACCTTACACTTTCATATAAGGTAGAGCCAAAAGATAATTTTAGTAATTTTTTGTTTAATAACGCAAAAACAAAAAGCAAAAATATGTTAAAAGGATATACGATAGACGAAATTAACTTCAAAGAACTATAAATCTTGTACCAGACAATAAAAAGGACACAGAAATTGTGTTAATAATTTCAAGAGATTCAATAATAATAACCAGTGTTAGACATATACGCTTTGGGTAGCCATGTCAGTCCCCATATAATATTGCCGATTTTCAAATCAAAAGGGACATGAGTCCTTCGACTAGTAAATAAGCAAATAAGAAGAAAAAACCAGTAGAACATTATTAAACCCAAAATATTATGTAAATTATAAAAAAAACAAATATGAATTAATTCAATTACCTTGTCCAAATCAAAGTTATCCAGATTGTTGTAGAGATCAGCTGAAGAGGCACAGAGATAACGACCTAGCAACGTGGCATGTGTAGTGAAGATCGTGGCGACATCGATATGGCGAGTCCGAGCAAGGATGAGGCCAACACCTGATAGCCACTCATGGAAATGGGCAACAATTGGCAAGGGAGGTGATCCCTCCAATTCGTTCACCTGTTGTCGAAACTGCAGGAAGTAATGTTCGTGAATAAAAAAAAAGCAAGAATTAAGGGGGAAATTGTTGAATGTGGCCCTAAACATCCACGAGATCATGTTGCTTTAAGATTGCTGCATATACAGATGCAATTTATTTAATAGGCTTTAGTTATATAATTCCTCACATACCTTGTCAGGATCAGTAGTCAATGCTTTGGTATCTAGGGGGAAAATGTGGGCATGGGCATAAGAAAGTACTTACATGGCTCAGAAATAAAAACATTTTGGGGTAAACAAGAGGTAAAATGAGTGGATGAATGAAATAAATCCGTGAGTTTTTTTAGACAAACTAAAGCTTAATTCTGAAATTTTTAAGTCAGACGAGATGTTAGGGCACAAAGAAGAGTCAGGTAAATCAAGTCTCCTCTTGCTTGGTGATTTGTCCTGCCCCCTCTCACTAATTCCATTCAATGGCCAGAGGCTATTCCTGCTTAATTTCCTATTCGTTCCACCTATTCCAGACGTTGGATTTTTAATTAATTTATGTTGACTACCTCATTCTCTATTAGCTGAAAAGTCTACATATTCTGCAAAACGTTGGGTCCCATGCGATTCTATCTAATCGCAGATACGAAGACCAAGATGGCGTGGCCTTTGGTTTGGTTGCAGTATAT